ATGCTTGTTTTTGCATGATCTGGAAAATGGTGGACAAAGCTGAAAATACATGTGAGTCTGAAGTCCACAATAAGAATTTAAATATGCCAAGCTTAAAGGCTGACTAAAGAAAGGGACTGTATATGTCTCAAATAAAATTCTGTGTTGAAAGCAGCATTTAAAAGTGAGAAAACTAGGGCCCCTTTACTCAGAATGATGACCCCACTATGGTAAAACAATCTGCCAGATGGTGGATGGTTCCTGCAGGGTCTTGGCAAGGTCTGTCTGTGTGTGTTAAGAATGCATAATAAAGCTAATTGGTTGACAAAGGCTTTGAGCCTACACTAAATGTCTACACTGGGCTATTCAACTGGCTGCCCGCAAATTCAATCCGGCCCACTTCATAAAAAAAAAAAAAACAAAGAAAAAAACAACTTTTTTTTCTGAGATACTAAAAATAGCAGGAAAAGTATAGTTTTTATTTACTGTAAACATTGCAACAACACAATTGCATTCACACTGAAGGAGGTTTTCCAAATTTAACTTTAAATCACATTCTGATAGAGTAGCTGGGTTTTGTATGGTTCACATGATGATATTGTTATCGACGATATCGATATTCTATGATATTGTTGCTTACACAAGTTCGATTTCACCTAAAAATGTGAAGAATTTTAAATAGATGCTTATACAGTAGTCCCTCGTTTATCGCGGGGGATACATAACCTGAAGACCAGCGATAAGTGAAAACCGCAAAGTAGGAATACTAGTACAAGTAGTAAGTAGTAGTTTCTAATGTTTCTAAACTCTAAATGCTCTACAAGAGCAAATAATGTCATGATTTTAGCTCCCTGCCTCCGCTGCTCTTTGCCACCTGCAAGCGCTCTTGGCCACGCCCACTACGCCGCACTGCACCGTGAACAGCTGATCAGCTACAGCAGGAAGTTTATCCTGCAGCTATGGGCTGCACAAATATGCAGCAGGTGATAAGATAATTTAAAATAATTTATTTTAAATAAAAATTCCATGCCGATCCTGCGGCTCATCCATCAATCAGCCAATTGTGTGTCATGTCCAGTCTTTTTTTGAAAAACCACGATAGAGCGAGTCCGCGATAAACGAACCGCAAAGTAGCGAGGGACTACTGTATATTTAAATCCACAAGCAGCAAATGTTTCACAAACAGGGACTCATCTTTTAATGAACCCTGTTCTCCCAGGCTGTGTTGTTACCCAAAAAGGCTCAAAGCAAATAATTAAAAAAATCACTTAATTGTAAGTAATACTATTGTTGACAATGGTTTACTAAAGATGCATGATCTTCGGTCTAAAAAGACTTCTGCTTCGGCCTCTCGACTTGTAGTGTTTCTAAAATCATCAGTGGTCAAACTCTTTGGCTGCATGGACAAGTCTGATTGTTGAATTTGGTTAAACGAGTCACTTCAGGCTTGGTTCATAGCCTCAGTGAACATTCCTGTTATTAGTTTATGCTCTCAGTTTTGAAAAGAGCATATTGACAAAAACAGCAATTTTAGACAAAACATTTTTAAGCCTCACGAACCTCACGATTCTTCTAAACTGTAGATGTCAATGCACTCTTTGCTTAATTGACAGGCTCTATTGAAACAAAAGTGACATGTTGTTCATGAAAGTGCAGTAGTTAAACAATTATAATACAAAAAAGAACATATATGGCAGGATAAATACAATATAAAATATGTGTTTATTTTAACTTAGAAAAATGGGTCATTTCATTGTTTTACAGGTTTGATCAGTTGAGTGCAAAATGCTTACAATGCAGTGTTTTAATGAACGCTGAAGCCTTGCAGGATCTTTAGATTTTACTCCATTTCATAAAAAGTGTCTTGTTTTTGTTTACAGTCACACTTACATTTGACTCTTGACTTCTAACATTTTTTATGATGAACCCTGATCTATGGCTCCTGTTTTGGCCGTGTTTGTATGTAAAAATATTCTAGAAAACCTATTAGGAATGTGGAGCTCACCGGCACAGTCAGCCTGCAGCTGCTCCGCAGGAAACACAGAGTGGAGTGAAAGGAAAAGAGTGCTTTACCTTTTGCAGTCACTCTTCAGAAGAGAAGTCACCATGGTTAGTCTGAAATACCACTGCTGTTGATACAAGTTGCTTCTTTGAAAAATATGAGGGAAAAACTCTCAAAGCTGCTAACATTGAGGATATTTTTTGAGTTTGTTACCCAGCAACACACAGTTTTAACTGGGAAACATCCGGTGCAGCATCAAGATTATTTTGATATAAATTATACTTTCTGGTTGTCCAATCAGTATAAAAAAATCTGTACAGATTCAAATTCAAAGCCTATATTCACTGTAGTCTTCAAAGTTTGTAAACTTTGGACCCATTTTGTTCAAATTAGACACTAAATAAAGTTGTGCTTTAAAACATGGCTGCTCTGTGACAGTGCCACCAGCCACCTTGGCCAGATCTATCCATCCATCCATACATACATCCATACATCCGTTCATCCATCCATCCATCCATCCATCCATCCATCCATCCATCCATCCATCCATCCATCCATCCATCCATCCATCCATCCATCCATCCGTCCATCCATCCATCCATCCATCCATCCATCCATCCATCCATCTTCTTTACCCAGTTATTTCTAGAATTGCGCCGCTCAAGGTGGCTGCATGTTGGAGCAGCTCTGTTACTTTCATTCTGAGATTTTGCTTTTGGAAACTTTAATTCCTGTTTTTCTGGATGTAATCATATTTTTTGGATGATTGTTTCCTCTGGTATCAGATGCTGTGCAGCTGGAAGGATTTTTACTGAAACTTTTTTAGTTTTGGACATTTGTTATGATGCGTAACCACGGCAACAAAGCAGTTTTCTACAACCAACAGCAGCTGATTAACATCTCAAAAGCTCAAATAATATCTCAACTACAGCCCCAAATTTCAAAAGAGTTGAAAAGGATGTTCTGTGGATGCATTCTCATCTACCTGCCAGCTGTGCTCGAGTGCCTGACCACTGAGATCCTGGAACTAGCAGGAAACACGGCTCATGACAGCGGAAGGACAGGATCGTCCCTCAGCACCTACAGTTGTCTGTCCGCAGCGACAAGGAGCTCGGCAGACTGCTGGGAGGAGTGGCCATCGCTCTGGGAGGAGTTCTGCCCGGCATTCATGCGGTCCTACAGCCCGGGGGAAGCGAGAGGCCAGCCCAGTCTGGGAAGATGGATCAGACGGCATCTGCAGCCAGTTTCTTAGGCTCCACTGTGGGATGGACCTTTACAAGAGATCCTTCCTGCCTACAGCCATCAGCATCTGTAACATCTCTTAATGAAACGAGGATATCAAGTTACAACAACAAATAATTTCCCTTTGGGATTAATAAAGTATTTTTGAATTGAATTGAATTAGGGCTGCAGAGCTCGGTGCCTCTCTTCAGTGGTCATTGGTGTGAGGCTGGGTACCACCTGGACAGGTCACCAGTCCATCACAGGACCACATAGAAACAGATGAGACAGTAAACCACTCACAATAGGGACAGTTTAGTGTTACCAAACTCTTAATTGCATACTAACAAGTGTTTCTGGACTGTGGAAAGAAATGGTATCAAGAGAAAACCTTAGTATTCACAAGCTGAACAGGCAAACCACACAAAAAAGATCCCAGTTTAGATGAAAACCCAGGACCTTCTTGATGTGAGGAGATCAAATCACCTACTAATTGCTACTGTTTTGTCATGCCACCCCAGATTGTTCCTCTACTCAGTATATATTTTTAAAACTTGTCCAATGTATTGCATTGCAGTTTTTTTTTTTTTTATCATGGTTAATATCCCCATTTTTCATAAACAGCCTGAGTAATACTGGGTCACTGTTGTAAATGGTAGAATTGCTGTCTTGAATACATTTATCATTGTATACCAAGTAATAATGCACATTCAACATTAGATGAAGACAGTTTATTCCAACTTTTTGACTTTAGCTCCAGTGTGCATGGTTTATAAACAACTAAAAAACATCATATAACATTTAGCTCCCATCATTATTTCAGTCCGTTGTACTGTATGTGTCTGAAGAATGTGGAACTGCTATCTATAGATTTGAAGTTTTCTGTCCCCGGAAACAATATAAAAGTTCAGAGAGTCCAGTGTACTTTATTACATCAGATAATGGTCACACACAGTCACAAAAGGAGAAGAACAGCAAGTGAAAGTTATCTTCGGGGTCAGTTGCTAATGCGAAAACAAGACATCTTGTTGTTAAACAGTCTCGCCTTCAGCACATTGCTCCATAGTTTCATCCACCTACTCAGTTGTCTAAATACAGCAGACAGTTGCTTGCTTGGATCCCACGGATCTTGATGAATGATATCGTTACTGGTCATTCATCACAGTTTATTCACCATATAGAATAATGTAACATCTTGTAAAAAGCACACATGTAGCTATATGAGTGTACAGTCAGATTATTGGTTTAATGATGCATAATGAAATCAAAACCAATTAACCACAAGAGTAATTCCATTGAGAGATGAAAAGTAAATACCAATGTGTTGCAGCGCAGCTTTCTGCTTTTCCAATTTCTGATAGACTAACTCAAAATGTGACCAACTTTTCTCTGCAGAAAAATTACAGTTACTAGCAGTAATTTGGGACGGCTGTACATTTGTATGGCGTTTACTGTCTGCTATATTCTGACTTGCTTGTCCAAGTTCAGGTAATTTCATCTGAGTGTCTTATTTCTCCAAATGAAAAATACTGTGAGCCAGAGAGAGACCTCTGCAGCAGAGAAACTGAGCTTTTAGCCACCCTTTCATTTGTTCTGCTACTCGCCTGTTTATCAGGATGTGTCCCTGCTCTGTTTAGAGCATTAATCATTTCATTACTTCACCTGCATGGCAGAAAGGTGCTCAGCTTATGGGAAGTCAAGAAAAAGTGTTTAATAGGATTAAAAAAATTATTAAATTATTATCTTTAATACTCTTGGAGAGGAAGTTAGATTGAGGGAAGTCTGTTTTACAGCCTGCTTTACTAATTGAGGACGTTTTGGGTCGAGTAGGTGAACATCTCTCTAATTAATGCTGCTGCACCCCTTTATTTTCACTGAAAAATAGTTCCCTGCGTTCAGAATACTCTGCAGTAGATTAGCTGTCTCCTCCGCATTTTTACCAGTTCCAGTGTCCTCCCATACAACCTCTTATTTCCTTCGAACAGTTCAGAGATTCTGTGTTGCAGGAATACAGGAGTTTGCAGACGGAGCCTCAGCGTTGTACACGGCTCACCGGTGGTGGGAGTGAGTCTGGGGGCAAGGCAGCACAGGCTCAGCGGGGACAGCAGCCATTAGGCCTGGGTGATACAAGGCTGGCCATGAACCTCCTAGCATCCAAGTGAAGGGCTCCTTGCCCGCATTGTGGTGCAGCGACAGGTGAGCATGGCAGTTGTCCAGAACCGACTGCTCATACCTGTACAGAGTCAGGGGGTTCAGCTGTCGTGGTATCTAGACAGAACAGAACACAGAAAATAGAAAGGGGAGAAAAACGAGTTACATATAAGGCTTTAAAACAGCCAGAAAAGCCTCCATGCCAACATTTATCAGCTCTCAGAATATTAAGAATTGGCTTAATTTACATCATGCTGTCAAGGCAGAACTCTGTCATTAACTGAGACTTGGCCGGTGAAACAGCGTTGCGCCCCAAGACCTGAAATCTGTGCCGCTCAAACACCCACTTCGAGCTGGAGTGATTTATATGCAAGATGAAAGCCTTAAGCAAGAGTGCACACATATTTTCTGCCCTCTTTTAAATGGAGTCAAGACTTCATTTAGAAGAGAGTGCTTATTACATTACAAGCACTTCGCTGATTCAAAGACCCATGTTCGTTTTATGTGCCAGTGTGGTCTGAATTATGTCAATTAAACAGAAAAAAGATGCATCACATCCTTGTGTAATAATGATAATAATACACTGTTATATTAATGCTTTCACACGAAATATGAATGCACTCGTACAACTGGAAATGCACAAAGCAACATGATGGAAAAATATTTTCATACATAATAGAACACCCATAAGCAGCATTTTAATGCACATTATTCAACTTGTCAGCCTGAATACTGAGTCCTGCAACTGCACACAGTGAAAGGTTTTTGTTTTATCTGACAAATTCCAGATGTTCATCAGATATACTAATCTTTTCTTAAGAAGGATGAAACAACATATTTTAAGTACTTGTGGGACATTTTTTGTGAAAAACTATCTGTTGTGCTTACTGGTTTTATTGGATCACAGAGGCTTTATGTAAAGTTGATTTGATCTGGAAATGGCTTTTCAGTTTCCTCTTCATCGGATTTGTCATATTTCCCAGTGCTGTCACAGTTCAGAGCCTTACATTTAAAGCCCCATTGATTTAAAGGTTACATTCTTCTTTTAGGAAATATGACTCAGTTTATTCTTCTTTTTCATAAAAAGATTAGTTGAAAACATGTTTGTCTTGTTCAACTGCTGAACTCTGCACACTACTTGAGAAGACGTAATGAAGATTTATATACAACAATCCTCAAATGCACAATCAGCTAAGCAAAGATGGTAGGCTTACATGTGGAACCTTCAGGTGCAGATTGTCCAGGGAAAAGCTACACTGTGGACTTGTTTCTTCAATTATTGCAACAACAACAAAAAAATAATAAATCAAACACGTGAGCAGAAAGGTTTTTATAAATTATGGTAGATGAAGCAATAACCTTCTTCTGCCTGTGCAGCAGTTGGCAGAACAGGTAAAATAATCAAAACAGGAACATGTCTGCATTGATTTTTGCATTGAACTGAAGTGTAGTTTAAATCCCTTAGTGAGATCAAACTCGACAGCTTCAGATTTCTTGCAAGGTGTTCCAAGTCACAGCAGCTGAGTAAGAAAATGACTTTTTGCCAAGTACAGTCCACACTGAGGGGACACTGCAAGTAACTGTGTTGCTGTATTTTCATTTTGTCCAGGACATCCTTGTAAAATACATTAATAATCTCAATGGATTTCTTCCTGGTAAATAAAGGTTTAAAAAATAATAATAATGATGGCCTGAGAGTGCACGCTGTAGCTGCACTGACGATGTGACATGCAGGAGGAGATAAATGAAGGCAGCAGACCAAGGAGTGATTGAAAGATGAAAATGTTCCAGTGTGAGAGTCTGCATGAAGTTAATGATGACTATGAGTACAGAGTGCAGTGACGGGTGTGGTAGTTACAACCAGTTTGCCATGTTTCTGCATCTTCATGACATGATCTCCTGCTCTGTCACTCTGCATTTCAGCTCATCAGTCTGAATCTCCATTTGTTCTGGTCCTTATTTAAAGACTCCTCTTACCTCTCCACCCTGCCAGATTATCAAACCCCTCATGGTAGAAGATGTCCAGCGTCATGATCAAAGTCTTGTTTTCTTTTCTTGTCTTGGCCTCACACCTGCCCTTTGGAACCCCTGATCTTCTTGCTCCCTGTCTGATCTTGCTTTGCCTCTCTGATCTTGTTACTGACTACTCCTTCTGGATTTACGATCTCAACTCACGGATTACCCCAAGGATTTGTATCTAGATTTCTAATCTCCCATGTATGACCCCCACCTCTACTCCTGGACCTCGTTGTTGGATTAACCTCCTAAACACGCTCTACTCAGCTCTACTCAGCTCTGCTCTGCTCTGCTCTGCTCTGCAGTTACGCAGCACCCAGTGGTGGTGACATAATCTTGCCCAACTCTATTGGTGACCCCCACCTCTCCTGCTTGAGAAGGTTAGTGACTGTCATCCTGTTCATTGCTTCATTCACTGAAAGGCTCAGTCCCCTAACTGTCCTATCTCTGCAGATTGGTTCCACCACTGGACTCAGACCTCCACCAGCATCTGTGTTACAATAAACTTTTGAACCATTCTTGTTGTCCAGCGTCTTGTACAAATCCTAAATCCAGAACCTTGTCACAGTTACGAATCTTAGAGCGCCGTGTTATCTAACATCTGCAAGGTGCTTGCAGGAGCATTCATATAAATAATGTCACCGTAGTCAATGGAGGGGAGGAATGTTTTAAGTTACAAGACGTTTCCTAGCGTTCAGAGTTAGACAGGATCTATTTCTGAAAAAGAAACTCAATTTTATTTCAATTTCTTTATCAGGTTTTCGCCATGAGGCTTAAAAAAGATGTGCATCGACCAAGATTCCAAAGTATTTGTAAGAAACGAGAAACCCAATAGGAACACCACTTGTAGACAAAATAGAAGGATGGACTACTGGTACCAACTTTCTGTTTGAAAACAACATCCCTTTGCAGCAAAGTTCATGCTCAATTCTTCTTCTTTTGGCTGCTCCCTGCGTTAGGGGTCGCCACAACGAACTAAGTTGCATGAAGACTTGGCAATTATTTTTACGCCGGATGCCCTTCCTGATGCAACCACAGACCACAGAGCTACCACAGTCCTCTGTGTGGATCAGAGAGCTGCTATCCAGGGCACCCGGAGGAGCAGATGGTGGGGGTTAAGGGCCTTGCTCAAAGGCCCAGAGTGGGGAAAATGAGGGTGGGGTCAGGTGTGGGCACTTCACCTATCCCACCCACATTTTTGATGTTGGTGGTACCGGGAGTTGAACCGGCGATCTTCCAATCACAGGCCCACCATCTCTAATCTTTGTGCCACTACTCCCTTAAAGTTCATGCTCAATTATCCAGGTAAAAATTCAGCCATGTTCAGTCAGGTCATCTGGACAGTTTCTTTTTTTTTTTGCCGAGGCGTTTTGTCCTTCATCCCTTTGGTTTTATCTGTGATAAATTTGATTAATTTAAATGATTTATTAGTATTAATATTAAGAAATACACTTGCAGGTCTTAGAGGAATAGTCTGGTCATTTTTTTAATTCATATTATGTCAAATCAAAGTTAGTACTTTATCAAACTTGACTTATGTAATAGACTATGGAGTATGAAGAAAAGGACAAAAGTCTTCTTCCAGGCTGGTCTAACAGCTTATCATACTAGAGCCCATTTAAAATTGTGTTTCAGGCTTAAAAAAACTATTTTTTATGTCATACTGGTGTGAAAGAGAACAACATTATTTAATATTAAACTATTACACTTTTACATGATAGTTTGTTTTGTCTGTTTTTGCACCTAAGCAATGTTGAAGTTACTATGTAGTTGCTTAACTTTCATGTTTGGAACCACTTTGGCAATGGCTGCCTCAGAGGAGTCGACGGGGGAGAGGGCGGGCACCAGAAACCATCTTATCATCAGCAAACTGGTTGGTTCACTATGGGAGTGTGCTGCTTGTGGTACTCAGTTAGATTGTGACTCCTCGGATTGATGAAGTCCTTTGGATGAAGGACAAAATGTCTCAACAATCAAAAAAAAAGAAACCTTCCAGATGACCTGACTGAACTTTGCTGGATTTATCTGCAAAAATATTTCTGCATTTAAACATTTCTACATCAGAAATATGTTTGAGTTGAGTTTGTGTAACACAGAAACCACAGAAACACCAGAAGATAAATACGGAATATACAATATCTTTTCAGCAAGTTCAGCTCCAACAGCTAATAAAAAATAATAATAAAAATCAGCACTCCTATTATAATCCTCCTCCTTTCTTTTTTCTTTTTGACGCCTCCTCAAACACTTTAGCCAGTTTTTTTTCCTCAGCACCTCGCCTGAACCATCACCTCCTGCAGCTTACATAAAGTGCCTCTCAGCCTGCAGTTCACATTGTTGGAGTCATATATTTTACTCGTGCTTGCCATGAAATAAATTTTAATTTCTATTTCGTTGGGTGTCTGATTTCAAGTAAGGTTTAGCACAGTTCTTCTTTATTTCATTGACAGCTGGTGGAGGATTATCTGCAGCTTTTCTTGCATAACTGTTGAGAAGCAGAACTACAACAGAAACATTTAAACTTCTCTCTTGCTCCAGATTAGGCCTTTAAAGCCTGTCTTCATTAATATTGTCCACTTCAAAAGGAAAAGTGTGATTATGTCTTTGACCCTGTCTGGTGGAGTTCATTTGTTTGTTGTGTTAGCAAAATATCTGATGAAGCGTAGAATTAATTATAATGGTATGGTATGGTATGAAGTTTATTCATTTTTAAAAAGTACAAAACAATTCCATAACAATATATAAAAAGATACAAAAAAAATTTAAAATGAAAGGCAGCAGAAAGAAGAAAAAATCTTATTATATCTGACCCTTTTTTTCAAACAATTATTTCAGACATAATAATTTTCAAGTAACAGAACAAAATGAATAACTTTCTAATTTTTCTAATTCTAATACAAAACACACACTAAGCTACTTCATATATACTTTTTTAACAATTCAGTTTTGATCTTTTTCTTAAATGTACACATTGACTTGACATTTTTTACATCACTCTCTAGACCATTCCACAATCCAACTCCTTGGATTGAGGTAGACCTTCCCTTCAGACTAGTTCTGAATTTTGGTTTGACAAATATCTCTATCCCCTTAAGATTGTA